TAGTTAGAGAAATAAAGGCAGAACAAAGGTCATCTTTGCCCCTGGACACTGGTGTGTCGGTCCTTAAATACCAACTTGAGGCTGCGCTCTGTGTTTATTTAGGCATCTACTCAATAATCAGAGCCCCTACTGCGCCTGGCTGTCTCTGCTCAGTGATCCTTCAGTTCTGTCGGTAGGAGCAGTTACTGTCAAGAGTAAACACATACACCGACTAAAAACAGAACGAGGTCCCGGGGAAAGAGTAGTATCTCTGAGAAAAGGACACGCTAGCCAGGGTCTCTCTGAGAAAGTAAAGGTATGATGCGCCTTCAGTGCGCACAGGAGTCGGCCAGGCGCAGCACGGGACAGAGCGTGGCTTGGAGGAGAGGCTGGCACAGGACCGACCGCGTAGGCTAGGAGACGCCATGCATTTCTCTAGGTGGGACAGGAAACCCATTTCAGATTTTAGATGAGAGAAGAATGCTTTGGGAGCCAGAGAGCACTTGTTACTCCCGTGTGGGACCCACGTTTGGTTCTCAGCACACGCTAGGCTGGGCACAGGTGCCTCTTAACTCCAGTCCTAGGGGATCTGATGCCCTCTCCTGGCCTCCACGGGTACTGCATGCCTGCGGTGCCCATACAGATAGCTAGATACACACACACACTCACTTACACACACACTCACACACACATACACACACTCACTTACACACACACTCACACACACACACACACACACACACACACGCTTTTAAAAAGATAAATGATTTGATCTGATATTTTTTTTTTAAAAAAAAGATTGCACAGGACCAACTACTGCAGGGGTTGGAAAACACCAAGACGACAGTTCACACAAGGCTGGTTCAAACTAGTTAGGATAGAAAGAGGTAGGTAGACTAATGTTAAATTTTACAAGTTAAATTTCAGGAGTTAGAGAAGAAAGGTGTGTTTGCGTGAGGAGTGGGAGTTATCAAGGCTGAGACTGTGATTTTTCGGCTTGAGCAATGGGCATCTGGCCATGCCAGCTCTGGAACTGGGAACGGCCACAAGACAAACACTTGGGTAGAGGGGAGGCAAAACCCGCAAGTTCAGCTTGGCATGGCTTGAGTTTGGAAGGCCTGTGAGACAATCGAACAGGAAAGCCTGTATGTTGTTGAGGAGCTTCTTCTGAGTGAGAGCTGAGGCTGCACAGAAGTTGTCATTATTTAAAAACCGCAGGCATGAGGAGGGATAGGGACTCCACAAAAGGGTAGAACCGGAGAGGAAAAGGCAGGGGCGAAGACGGTCGGATTCCAACACTGGGTGGAGAGTGAGCAGTCAGCGGATCACTCTGGGAAGGGTCGGGCCGAGAGGAGGGGCATGGATGAAGGCAGAGAGCAGGGACACGGGCCAGAAGCCGTGCCCAAAAATGGCCAGCAATGCCGCGTTCCAGGTAAGCCAAGGGACGAAAAGCGGCGGGTGTTTGGGTCAGTCGTGGTTCCAGCGGAGCAGCTGTGACAGAAAAGAACTATCCTGAATGGGGAAGGCGGGGGCTGAGGACAAGTTTCAAAGAGGCAGAGATGGGCAGACTTTGGGTAGGACTGGCACAGGGCCCCAGGGAAGAGGGTTGACAAGGGGGAGGGGGATAAGGGCGGGGTGTGGCAGGCTGAGGAAAGACTAGTCCTTTAGACTAGACCCAGGTCAGCACCGGAATGCAGTGTGGAGATGGAGAAGCACAGGCTACGACTCAGCTCTCTCACTAACGTCAGGGAGATGAGTACTCACTCCAAAGCTGAGCGATGATGACTGCCAGAAGTCAGAGGCCTGCCTGGGCTAACCTGGAAGACACGCCCCACACCCCCCACTCCCACAAAACCCCACATGTATAAGATTAAATTCTATACTGTCCATGACTGTCAAGTTTTGACGGATGTAATTATAGGATATTAATGAGGAAAATTTATAAAACAACCAAGGGACTGCCATGTCTTTATAATGCAATATAATAGCCACCATAAAAGGCTGTATGAAGTGGTATGTGAATGTATGTGTGTGTGTGTGCACGTGAGTGTGTGCATTTGTGTGCATGTGTGAGTGTGTGTGCGAGCATGTGCGTGTGTGCGAGCATATGGGTGCATGTGTGTGTGTGCGTGTGTCTGCATGTGTGAGTGTGTGCATGTGTGCATGCATGTGTGTGTGCGTGTGTGGGTGTAGGTCAGAGTTCCTTGAAGGGCATCTTCATCTTGTCTGCCTCCTGACTGTAGAAGCAATGTGGCCCGCAGCCTCATGATCCCACCATCCCGAAGTCTGGGTTGTATGCCTTCAAACTGAGCCCCCCAAACCCTTCCTTCCTTGAGTTACCTTTTCAGGCATTTTGTCAGGGCAGCAAGAAGAGTAACTGATAGGGGGAGAACTCACAAGTGGAACCCTGAAGGGCCTTGTGGTTGAAAAGCTGGGCAAACTACTCAACAACTGAGCAGGGATTTGAACCCTGGAGCACGCACGGCTCCAGTCCTCTTCGTTACTAAAGCAGCCCCCTGTCTTCATTTCTAAGAGCACAGAGGCAATTAGGAGTGTTCAGAAAATGTCCTAGAGTGTGAGGCGAGCGAGTGCAGCAACCTAAGGCTCTTAAGGACACCCTCTTTTATTCATGCTTAGGGGACCGCACAGGCTAGCTGGGCCGATATTTACAAAGACAACCAGGCGATCTTAGTACATCCACCATGCTTCCACGGGCAGGGAAGTATGCGGGTTTTTTTGACAAGATTTCTGGGACAGAGGAGAACTCTGATTGTACCTGGAAAGATTGCTGAAAACCAACGTGTGAGAAAGAAAATAAAATATATGTGTGCATGCTTCAGGTGTGTTTGAACACATGTTTCAGGGGGAGAATATCAGTAGCGTTTTTCTAAAAGCCCCCCCCCCCAGGGCTCAGGGACCAGCATGAGACAGGCACTGGAACAAATATAAAAGCCTGAAGGCGGGAAGAAGGGATGTGATGTGCGTTCTTCAGTCATGACATCATGACTAAGAACGTGACTTCTCAGCAGCAGTATAAACCAGGAATTCAGAGGAATAGGTCTGCAACGACCAGTCATGGATCAGAGAGGATTCATGGGGTTCCTGCCTTTTCCCTGTTGAACTATTGGCAACTTAGGGAATCTCAGGGGGCGGGAGAGGGGGGTCATTGTCTTTAGCTGCATACTGAAAAGTGAGCCCAACAGTCTCTAAGGCAGAATACATTACATACACACACGTATGGAGTTATTAAATAACCTTAATCAGTAAAAATGGGGAGAGTTGTGACTTTGTGATTATATAAGAGTATACTTTAGATCCAAATAGGACAGCTTTATATAATCAATGTCGACAATTTAACTTAAGTTGCCATATGCAAAAACACCATTTGGAGTCTTGTTGATAAGTTAGGGGACGACTGTTTGAAAGCCACTCATACATACAAGGGTTGAAACACAAGAATAGAGGGTCTGACCCATCTATTCATAGTGCAATGTTACCAATGTCTGTAGACTGCAAAGTAGACACTAAAACAAACGATTCGGCAGACTTTAGAGAATGTGACTGTACACCATTAACACTGAGTTTCTGAAATTGCATGTTCACTGGAAGTATTTCCTGTAAATAGTTCTAGAAACTGTTTAGCCTCTGAATCCTTTTTCTAATATAAACTACCACAAATGGCATGCTTGGGAAGGCTTAACCCATTTGGTACCTTGCTGGGCCTCTCAGTGGTATAAAATAGAGGTGAAATCATTTTCTTTCGGTCACACAGATGAGAAAACAAAATTAGATGTGAATCTGTTTTACATTTCTACAATGATTGCTGAGCTGTGGGTGTCTGGCTGCCTGGGAAAGACATATAGAAAAAGATTATTGCCTCTCTAAAATTCTCAAAGCCCCAAAGGCCCTTTCTGCAGAGCTAATCTTCCTCTCTGGGGATGCTCTCCACTTGCCAACTGGGTTCCCAGATTTACGAGTCCTCCTGCACCCCTGTGTCTCAGTGAGGGCTCAAGCCTTCCGTGGCCCCAGGCCCATGTTCTGCTCAGGCACACTTCTTAGTAATATTCCTTTGAATCCTCTCTCCTTTGCTTGCTCTATGTAAACATCATTTGTATTTGCGTGCCTGGGCAGCAAATCACGTGCACAGCATTTCACGATGCCTTTGAATCAAGTTCACGGCTTCAAAAACCAATGGCGTGGCACATGCGTTTAGCCCAACACATAGAGATAACTTAATAAGAGAGAACTCTCCAAACTGTCTCTTTAACCTAGCCCGCTCATCTAAATTCGACAAGACACAATACAGGTGATGGCTCAAGTGAAAGAAATGTAAGAAAGTCTGTCTTCAGTGTTTTGCAAGCTGCTTTAAAATAAAAATGCTTCCTGAGATGCAGGAGTGGATGTCATGACTGTTAAGTGGATATTTTTTAGCTTTAACTGACTGATCAGAAGACTATTTATAGCCCTCCTGACTGATGTCTCAAGCTGGTAAATCAACAGCAAGGGAGACTATTTCAAGCACATTTATCATTTAAGACAAACAGCCCAGACTGCGCGTGATTATTTTTTATTCATCATCTCCACTCACCTCTGTGTTCGCTCCTTCTCACTGTTAATAATGTCTGTATAAGGCTTCTCAATATTTAATGGTATAGTCTCCCCGCTGAATGCCGAGGAGTTTAAGGTCATATGTTTGAGCGCAAGGAGGCCAGTTTGCCAAAAGATGTAAAAACAAAGGGGGGGGGGTAAATCTGTATTTCCTGGGGAAGCCGACTCCCTCAGTTTTGTGAGAAACACTATTGTTTGTCTCTTTGCCATTAAAGAAAGAAATCACAGAATGAAAGCTTTTAATGGGAACAGAGCTCAAGGCATTTCAACAGACTGGCCCAACCACATAGAGACTTTTGAGTGGCGGAACAATGCCCAGAATCACAGGACAGTTTGGCTCAGTGTCTCTATGGCTCAGTTTACCTTCATCTGTGCATCTCGTAGTAGATAGCAACACCCAAGAAAAATCTTACCTGTTCACTCTCTTCGTCGTCACTACTTAGCTTAAGGTCATCTTCTAGCATCCTGAAAGAAGGAACAGAGGGGTGCAGACGCTTAGATTCAAAATCTTTCAACACCTAAACATCACCCTTCAGGAATGTGCATTTGGATCTCTATACCCCCCCCCTTGCATTTTAAGCGTTTTTCCTCTGATGCACTTAGGGATGAACAGAAGAGTCGCATCACGAAAACGAACCCTCAATGGCAATCACAGGGCGAGATGAGGCTCCTTCAGGGTTGGCTGTTGTAGAGACACTGAACCAAACAGAGACTGCTGTTCCCTAGGAAGTTCAAATTTCGCAATTGTTTCTTTAGCCTTTCCCAGGCTGTGTCCTTGGGCCTGTCTGGGGGATGCTCAGGGAAAAGAGGCTCAAGAACAAGCAGAACCCTGCCGAGGGCCGAGCAGCCATAGCCTTGAGTCACAAATGACATTTGTGCAGGCCCCCTGACAGCCTAAGGGCTGGAGAGGACGTCTACTCCAGGATCTGCTGCACGGAAGGCAATGACCAGCGGGGTGCTTCTGAAGAGTCTAGGAGGCCCTTTCCACAGGCCACCAGGCACGCATGCGTCCTAACATGGGCAGCAAGTGAGGCCAAGGGCACACAGAGAGTGGAAATGCGCACCCTGCTGTGCTTAGGGTGCAGGGCTGCTCTTATCAGGGTTGCTGCGATTAGTTCTTTGTAGTGCAGCTGTTTCCAGATTCGTCTAGTGCCAAAGGAATCTTGCTCAGAAAAGTGTGCTCTGAAATGCACTCTGTGCACCAAGAGCTGTTCTGCCCAGGAGTGGGGAGGATGCACTGGCACAGAGCCCAGGGCTCCAGACACTGGCCTGGAAAACTGTTGAGCTCTTGTGTTCAAAGACCTCAATGTCATCCTTATAGTCAACTTCTGAAGGCTGCTACCAAATGTGCCTCTCAAAGGCAGATAGTACTATTTTAACATTACTTCAGTGACTTTGGGGATAAACAGGAGACCAGGGGCTGTCAGGGAATGGGCCCAGTTATGAAATGTCTAAGCTTTGGGGGGTAGCTGACATGTGGCACCCTTGTTCACCTCATGGAAGGTGAAGGTTACACCTGGAGATTCTGCTTTAGATTCCACGAGTCTAAGAAATAAAACTGTTTCTCCCATCTCACAGAGTAGGAAAAACATCCTTTCTATTTGATGAGAATCATTTGGAAAAACAACTGCAATTGAACATGTGTGTTTTGTTTCTTGGCCATTATTTCCTAGCCACAGGGCAGAACACAGCACTTACGTTGTGTTTGGCGTTCAAAGTGATCAAAATATATGAGAGAGAGAGAGAGAAAAAGCCAACATTTATCTATCCAACACATCGTATTTGTTAGACAGGTCTACCCCTTTACAGGCATTCCTACACAGTACACCCCATGCCTTAGAACACTGATTGTAGGGAATGTTAGAAACCTCATTCCATTCTTTCTGAAGTTCCCTGCTCTGTTGGTTGCTGCTACTACCTGGCTGGGTAATTTTTATCTGTAGTTACTTGGAACAACTTTGCCTATAGCATTCTTGGGAACTGGGGACTGAGAAGGCTAGAAAAGCTCTTGTGTGTGTGGTGGGGTTGATGACTAAGTATATTCTAGATGAAGATGGATGAACTGACTTAGCCTGGAGCCAAGTGGAAAATGCAGGATCAAGACAGGGTGGTTTAGATAACCTAGCAAAACCTAGCAATGTCCGATCAGAGCGTGCTCTGTTCCAGGGATCTATATATTGTTGTAAAAACATCTTGTGAAATTCTGGCCACCTGGGGAATCTACGTACTTGTTAGCCTGTGTGAACCAACCCATGCCTCACCCATGCCCGCTTCTCTTGGATGTAATAAGAGCGCATGAAGCGCTGAGACTATTTGAAATTCTTAGCTTTTTTTTTTTTTAATAAACTGTATATTTTCAAGTGTACCACTTGTGCTTTTTACTTGGAATTAGAATTTTAGCCACTGGAGCTGACAGCCTGGAAAGAATGAGTTTGGAAAGAGGAGAGGAACGTTGGGGCCCCCTTTCCTTGAGCATTCCATCATTCTTCTACATAACCAGCCCCCCCCCCAATCCCTCAAGGGCCACATGCTGTTTGTATGCTCATGAAAACATTCCCTCTTTTCTGTTTAGGACATCACAGACCGTGGTGATGAGGTCGCAGCCCCCCCCCCCCCCAACACATTAGACTTTAAAATTGCTTCTTCCTGAAGGGATTACAGGAAAAGAGATCTGTCCGGACTCTATCATTTCCATCAAAAGACAACAGAGGCTTAGAAACCCACTTCCATAGGAAATGCTTTCCCTCTAAGACGGCTTTTAAATTCCCATCTTTCTTACACCGACTTGCAGAAAATGAGTTTTTGAACTTGGCGTCCCTGGTATTAAAGGGCCGAGTTTCCGAGGACAAATGAATGCAAACACAGTGTGTATGAGAATATGATCCTTTCCCCGGCAGACAACAGAGGGGAGTGGAGAGGGCCCAGGCTAGGGACATAAAATGCCCTTGGCTGTACAGAGCCAACGATGGACGCTTCTTTACTGGGTCCTGATCGAAGAGGAACCTGTATTTAACCAGAGGGGTATTCATACATATTCATCTAGCTCAAGTCTAGATGTTGAATATTAACACTATTGGTTAAGCTTGGTACCTGTTCTGCTTGCTAACTAATGATCTGTTTAATTGGTAACTCTCGATGGTGAATGTGCACTGGCGTTAAAAGTGTCATATATACTTAGGCTAAGATTCGGTCTTTGGTTTTGAAGTACTGGCTTCTGCCTTTTGCAGCTGCTGTTATTGACATGTTAATTGGGAAGAGAGTCCCTAATTAAGGGATTTGTTTGAACAGGTAAGCTGTTAAAACCAGGACGGAGGGCCAAACATAATCTCTCAATTAACAAATTCATGGACTTTAAGCCCTATCACGGTGCCTGAGAATGCCACACGCAGTCATTGTTAAGCTTTACTGCACACTGGCATCACTTGGGAATCTTTAAAACATACGGATACTGGCTTCCATTCTTCACGCATGTTCTGATTTAATAGGGCTGGAGTGGAATCTGGGTGTCCAGACATTTTTAGAATTCCCTTGGTGATTCTAAACCGTAATGAGGGGTTAAGCGCACTATCGACAGGAGGAAACGGACTGCACCAGAAAAGCTAAAGGATAGCTCCTGGCCTTGGACGAAGTCCTCACCTCTAAGGTTCAGTTTGTTCATTAATAAACTGGGGTGGATGATAGTCAAGACTCGAAAGAGACAATTTAGATACGAATGCATGCCAACTCTACAGGCTTGTAGGCGTGCTCAACAAAGGTTAAGGCAGCCTATGGTGTTTCCAAACATACTGACTTGAGGGCCGCATCCACAGAGGCTCTGGTTTCAGCGGACTGGCCACAGGCATCAACATTTTTGATAAACTCCTGTGGTCAACCCATTTGTTGAAACCTAACCACCAATGTTGTGGTGTGAAGATGTAAGACCACTGGGGATGATTGGGTTCCGAGATGAATGGGACTATTACCCTTAAAGAGGACCCCAGGGCTGGGCGCGCAGCACAGGGGTGGAGTGCTCTGTGCATCCTAGGTTCAATCTCCAGTTCTCAGCAACACAACTCCAACAAGCAAAGTGCCCACAGAGATCTATCACATGAGCACTCAACAAATGGCTACTACTTACGAACTAGAAAGCTGACTCTCACCAGAGTTCAGTCTAGCTCAGCCTTGGCCTTTGACTGCCTGCCTAGCCTCTGCTGTTTATAAGCTGTCTAGTCTACGGTACTTTCTAAGATATTTTGTTATAAAAGTCTGAAGGGACTGAGGCACACTCATCCTGAGACTCACCGCCTGAATTCTCACCAGGTGACCATCACACTTGTGCCCCGAAGCCTTCACCAATCCACAGGGAGGACAAAATGACTCAAGCTGCGCCTGAGTTTGTGTGTAACTGGTGCACCATGCTAGCACTGCGTACTGACTCACCTGACTTTACCTTTCCCTCGTCTTCTATTTGAATAAAGCGTACTAGGGCTAGGGAATGTAAGCCTTAGTGGCAGGGGACTTGCTGGGCATACACTCTTCAGTTCCATCCCTCCTGTACTTTAAAGTGAGAGAGAGGGAGAGAGAGAGAGAGAGAGAGGGAGAGAGAGAGAGAGAGAGAGAGAGAGAGAGAGAGAGAGAGGGAGGGAGAGAGAGAGAGCATTCTCTAAGGGAAGTGGGTGGTGTATTTTCTCAGTGCCTAGTAGAAGCCATAGCCCCATCATTACCAATGAATTAAGTTAGGGATTGTGGTGCAATTTAGAGTTCTACAGGGCTTGTTTTCAGACACCATGGGCAGTGCAGGAGAATCTGACGCCATTTCCTGGGCTGCTCTTGAATTTATAGGAAGACCCAGAGGTTATCTGGAATATCATGCCCTCTCCCAGCTGGAGAAGTCTTCAAAGTTTCTTCAAGACCAAACAGCACAGCACAGGCCATTTCAGGCATGGAGACTCAACACCCTTCTGTGTCAAGAGGGCTGGAGGCCTTGGGCCCATCAGCACGGTTTTTATTCAGGTGTCACCATTGAGAGGCGCTTGAAGAGTGCTTGGAAGGTCAGAGAGTAACAACCGCTATTGCTCCCAGGGCAGAGAAGCATCCCCACCACCTTCAGCCCGCGGCTGCCATGACTCCCGTCGAGGATGCTGGCATCACTCTGTGACAAATGCTTGTAGGCATGCTAGGCCTGAGATTACCCTTAGCAGTTTCCTGCAGTTCTTGTATTTATTGCTTCTCTGCAATGAGTTTCTGATTACCAACTTCTCCCCATTGGCTCCCTGAGCTCCTGATGAGTTTGGCAGCCACTGATTCTTTATGTTAGTGTCTTCATTCTTGAAATGCCGCCAACAGTGGCTTCTCTTGCCCAGATTAGACTCTGACCCACATATATAATAAATGGCAAGAGGTCTGGAATCAAAAAGGCTCACATACTACTTCATTTCCCTGCTCTGTCACATGTGTCCTGGTCCAAAGGACTTAAAATTGCTCTG